GTCAACTAATATTTAACAAAACAGGAAAGACTATCTACTGGAAAAAGGACAGTCTCTTCAATAAATGGTGCTGGGAAAATTGGACATCCACATGCAAAAGAATGAAACTAGATCATTCTCTTATACCAGACACAAAGATAAACTCAAAATGGATAAAAGATATAAATGTCAGACAAGATTCCATCAAAATTCTAGAGAAGAACACAGGCAACAACCTTTTTGAGCTTGGCCACAGCAACTTCTTGCAAGATACATCTATGAAGGCAAGGGAAACAAAAGCAAAAATGATCTATTGGGACTTACTCAAGATAAAAAGCTTCTGCACAGCAAAAAAAAAAAAAAAAAAAAAAAAAGTCAACAAAACTAAAAGACAACCTACAGAATGGGAGAAGATATTTGCAAATGTCATAGCAGATAAAGGGCTAGTATCCAAGATCTATAAAGAACTTATTAAACTCAACACCCAAGAAACAAGCAATCCAATCATGAAATGGGCAAAAGACATGAAGAGAAATCTCACAGAGGAAGACATAGACATGGCCAACGAGCACATGAGAAAATGCTCTGCATCACTTGCCATCAGGGAAATACAAATCAAAACCACAATGAGATACCACCTCACACCAGTGAGAATGGGGAAAATTAACAAGGCAGGAAACAACAAATGTTGGAGAGAATGTGGAGAAAAACGAACCCTCTTGCACTGTTCGGGGGAATGTTACCTGGTACAGCCACTCTGGAAAACCGTCTTGAGGTTCCTCAAAGAGTTAAAAATAGACCTGCCCGGGGATCCCTGGGTGGCTCAGCGCCTGCCTTTGGCCCAGGGTGCATTCCTGGTGTCCCCGGATCGAGTCCCGCGTCCGGCTCCCAGCATGGAGCCTGCTTCTCCCTCCTCCTGTGTCTCTGCCTCTCTCTCGATCTCTCATGAATAAATAAATAAATAAATCTTTAAAAAAAAATGCTTAAAAAAAAAAAAAAAAGACCTGCCCTACGACCAGCAATTACACTGCTGGGGATTTACCCCAAAGATACAGATGCAGTGAAACGCCGGGACACCTGCACCCCGATGTTTCTAGCAGCCATGTCCACAATAGCCAAACTGTGGAAGGAGCCTCGGTGCCCATCGAAAGATGAATGGATAAAGAAGATGTGGTGTATGTATACAATGGAATATTACTCAGCCATTAGAAACGACAAATACCCACCATTTGCTTCAATGTGGATGGAACTGGAGGGTATTATGATGAGTGAAGTAAGTCAATCGGAGAAGGACAAACATTGTATGTTCTCATTCATTCGGGGAATATAAAAAATAGTGAAAGGGATTACAGGGGAAAGGAGGGGAACTGAGTGGGAAATATCAGAGAGGGTAACAGAACATGAGAGACTCCTAACTCTGGGAAATGAACAAGGGGTAGTGGAAGGGGAGGTGGGCGGGGCTTGGGGTGACTGGGTGAAAGGCACTGAGGGGGCACTTGATGGGATGAGCACTGGGTGTTATTCTGTATGTTGGCAAATTGAACACCAATAAAAAATAAATGTATTATTAAAAAAAAGAAAGAAAAAAGAAAAATTGAACTCCAATAAAAAAAATATACAAAATAAAAAAAGCCTAGTTCCTGAGCTGAGAACCAGGAATTGGGGGAGGCTTCTAGTTTCACAGTTTGATACATGAATGATCCTGAGTTCTAACACTACTGACTCTCCCTTCCCACATCTCACACTTTATTAATAGCAATGGTAAGAATAACTAGCCCTTGTTCACTATATGCTATGAACTTTTTCAGTATTTATTCATTTTAGCACCATTTACTCTTCACAACAAACCTAGAGAGTAAATACAATTATTATATTCATTTTATAGATGAGAAAGTAAGGCATAGGAAAGATAGTTTGCCCAAGGTCATAGTTGGGGAAACCAAAATGTGAACTCAGGTATTACAGTCCCTCGGCCCACACTTTCAAACACCATCCACAGCGGAGCTCACTCTACAGCAAAATTATCCCTTTGGGTTTAAGCCTGATTTCTTAAAAAAAGACTTGTAAAAATCCATGTGTTTCCTGGGAGGATTAATGAGGCATATCTTTTAGTCATTGTCTTTAGCACCTCTGAAACAGCTAACTGCCACCTAGGAGACCATGAAAGCCACAAATAGCACAGAACAGTAATGAGTACTAAGAGGGGAGGGAGTAGAATCCTCAGAATGTTCCAGAGCATTCCTGCTGGGCAGAGGCTGCCATCCACAGTCAAGAGACCAATGCTCAGGGAGATTTGGAGTGGGTAGGGTGGCTCTTAGGGTAACAAGCCAATTTTAGCAGCTTTTCAGCTTGGCAGTGGATTCGGAAGAGTGAGCATAACTCTCAGAGAACACTTTGAAAGGGATCAAAGATACAGAGTAGCTTCCTTTCAGAGAAAGCAGCCCACTCCTTGGGATCCAGCTGAGTCTGTTGGTAACCAAGAGCTTGGTTTATCCAGATAAGTCATCTGATGGAACCACAAGCTTGTATTTATATCTACTGAAGGACACTTGCCAGGCTGTCTTTGTCATCACTGGAACACTTGAGAAGGAATACATCCTGCACTTTCCCTCTGTAGTGAGCTGAGCAATTATACTGCTAAAACAGGTGCCAAAGCCCTGTGTCCTTTCTTCTCTTTCTACCTCCACCTCTATCCTTCAGCCCAGATGTTTGTCTTTCTGTCCACCCTCTTTGCTGCCTTTGAGATTCTATTTATTTATTCATGAGAGACAGAGAGAGAGAGGCAGACACATAGAGGGAGAAGCAGGCTCCCTGTGGGGAGCCCAATATGGGACTAGATCCCAGGACCCTGGAATCATGATCTGAGCCAGAGGCAGATGCTCAACCCCTGAGCCACTCAGGTGCCCCTTTCTTTGCTGCTTCTATTTCTTCCTTCCTCTAATTCTCAAGATCAAATCCAATGGGAAGTCCCGGTGGCTCAGTGGTTTGGCGCTACCTTCAGGCCAGGGCGTGATCCTGGAGACCCATCTGGGCTACCAAGGTTAGGTGTTTAAAAAAAAATAAACCTGAAAGGAAATCAACCAATATTGACAGTGGTTACCTCTGACTAGTGGGATCACAAGTCCCATATTTGCTTCTATGCAATTTTTTTAAATATTTATTTATTCAGAGAGAGAGGGGCAGAGAGACAGGCAGAGGAAGAAGCAGGCTCCATGCAGGAAGCCCGACGTGGGACTCGATCCCAGGTCTCCAGGATCACACCCTGGGCTGTAGGCGGTGCTAAACCGCTGCGCCGCCGGGGCTGCCCTTCTATGCAATTATTAATATTTTTCAAAATATATATCAGTATTGCTTTAACACAAGAAAAACTGTCATTGTTTTATCAGGAGGCCTAGAGACCAGCAAACAATATCTGGAGGAATGGCGCAGAGAGGGATTTCATAGGCTGCTAAGGACATTGTGCACGTTGCCTTTTAACTTCACTTCTTATCAGTCCATAAAACTAAGGTTTCCAGAGGAAGGGAAGCAAAAGGGCCCTACTTTCTTCTAGTAAACACTTCAGCGTCATGTATCAAATTCCAAAGTAGTGCTATGGCAGGAAGCTTGCCTAAGCCAGAGAGTAAAATTTAACGGAATTACAATAGGCCTCACCTGTGGGTGCCAGAGGTGAAATTCCATTGGCCCTGGGACTCCTCCATGTAAGAAGGCAAAGAGGGCAAGATGGTGTGCCAGTGCCCTACTTGCAATTCATGTCAGGGCTTTCTCTTTCTGCCATTTCCTCTGGCTCTTTTCACCAGATGGCAGAGGCTGCTGCTTTAGCACCAGTCGAGATTCAGAAAAACTGAATGTCCAGGATGTGAAAGGGCCTGCTCTTATCTCCCACTGCGGCTGTGGTAGTTACCAGACAGGCTGAACAGACTGCCCCATGTTTGCTAGGAAGTGACTGTAAAGAGGCAAGACCAGTACCTGCTAATCTCAAGCTCAGAGTGGCTGTGTTTCAACTTAGGAGAAGGTAGAGAAGTTTCAATATATTAAAAAGAGAAAGGGGGTTTTATACACTGCAATCCTATCACACAATGGAATACTGAATAGCTAGTAAGAATGAGGCAGCTCTACGTGAGCCAATGAGGAACAATCATCCAAGATTAATTAATTAACAGTGGTGGCCTCTGGGCAGGAAACTGGGAGTGGAAATAAAGGTACTCTTTTCCATGAATATCCTTTTGTGATTTTGAAATCTGTACCCCATATGTAAAACTTCTGTATCATTTTTAAATGCCTTACATGCACACATGTGCAAACATACATGTGCACAAGAGCAGAGAGCACCTGCACAAAGCTGAGAGTCCCTTCTAAGCGGCTTTTTGGAAGCAGAACAACTATGTCCTTCACCAGTCCCCCACCTCCACCCCTGTGATGGCCCACGGTAGCCTAATGCCACCTCTCCCCCTCACCCCAACCTCCCTAGCCTCCTGTCTGACCATAGACATTACCCATTGCTGCTCTTCTCAGCATCCCTAAAGGTTAAAATACCTGTTCTATGTTGTATTCTCTCAGAAGCCTGTAAAATGAAAAAAAAAAAAAAGTCTATAAAATGAATCTACCAACTCCAAGTGAAGTTACCCTCCTAGATATATGTGTATATTAACAGTGAATTTCAGCCAGAGAGTGACTGATTTTAGAGCAAGTGAAGCAGGATCATGGCACAGTGACAGGAACACCAGACTCGAGGGTCAGGAGACCTTGATCTTATTCAGGCTATGCATCTTGAGGCAAATCACATCAGCTCTACGGATCTCAATTTCCGTAACTTAAAAAAGGGAGGAGGTGCTATAAGAAATGATCTTCCCAAATCTAACACTCTGTAAAATCCCAGCATATAATGCTGATTGCTATCCCCTCTGAACTTGATGTATACTGTGTGTTCAACAGCACTATACGATAGAAATACAATGTGAGTCATATATGTCATTTTAAACATTCTAGGAGCCCTACAAAACAGTAAAAAGAAACAGCTGAAATCAATTTTAATAGATTTTATTTAACCCAATATGTCCAAAATATTATCCTTTCAACATGCAATCAATGTAAAAATTACTGAGTTTCCATTCTTTTTTTAGTACTAAATCTTCAAAATCCAGTGAGTATTTTACATTTACAGAACATCTTGATTTGGACTAGCCGCACTTCGAATGCTCAAAAACCCCATGTGGCTAATGGCTAACACAGGTCTAAGTCCAACAAGGAAGCCCTCCCTTCATTTCTGACCTCGTGAAGCCCAGACTTAAAGACTGATATGAATATCAGCCTCCATCCTTAGAAAGGGTCAAAGTCTCATCAGAGCAGTTCTGATTCTGAGTACCTCGTTGGACTAGGAAGGGAATTGGGGCTGGTTATCAGACAACACTTAAGAGTTCAAGACAAACATCAAACAGAACCTAGAGGCCTGCAAGCAGAATAATACAGAGGAACTTTAGGGAACAGACAGAAAAAGAAGGTGGGCATAGTCGGGTCTTCTTTTTACTCAGACTTTTCACAATACAAAACACACCAAAGCACACAGATCTTATGTCATGGTGGCTGAAACAGTTCATTAATCTGAATATCTCTGAATACCTTCACATTCCTGGGGGCTGGGCTAGGCGACCAGGACACAGCTACCACTCACAAGAGCTCTTATTTGGAGCAGGATAACATGCTAAGCACTTCCTAAGTCGGCTCTCCTTTACTTGGTCTATGAGATAATAATTCACTAACAGATGAGGACACTGAGGCAGAGAAAGGATAGGTCAGTTTCCAACCGTCACATACCTCCATGAGTAGTAGAGCAGGGATCCAAACCTGATTCTTAAACACTGCAACAAGCCACATTCCCCAGCTTCAAAGAGCTCACAGTGACTGGAGGGAACAAAGAACTTCACAGTTTTACAGCCATGAGGTCACAACCACAAGAAGGATAGGAAATAGGGACATGGAAGCAGAAGACATAGGGAAAGGATTCCCAAAGGTAACGTTGAGGAAGTCTGGAAATTTGAGGAGCTAACAAGGCAAAAAGTGGGAGCTGGACCTCCCAGAGGGAAGAGCAGGTGCTAAAGGTTCAGCGGTGTGAAGGAGCAGGAAATGTTCAGAAAACTATGACAGGCTGCACAGCCGGCGGGCAGCATGTGTGAGGAACAGAGGCCTGCACGAAAGTGGAGGTGTTAGCCAACACCAGTGCAGAAGATGCCCTAAATTGCATGATGGATTTAAGAAATGCCATGTGATGCATGGAAAGCTATTAAAGACTTTTATCTAGGGTCAAGAAAGGTACTAGATCTTCATTTTGAGAAATCATTCTAACAGAGAGATACCAAAGCTAACCTGTCTCCTTGCCTCTCCCCAGAGTTCTTAACTCTATTTAAAACTCTGTATGTAAAAGCACGGATTCATTTCCCACAGAGTTGGACCACACCCTAGGGCCAACTTTTCTACCTAGGGCCCATGAGGTTTACTTATTCTACCCATTTTACTAAAGAGAAGTTGTTGACTTGAAACTCCTGAAAAGCAACCCACTAGAAACTAATAAGCACCTCCTATATTCCTGGCATCAACACTGCCTGAAGCCCCTGCAGGGGGTGGTTTGCTTGGCCTTCAGCCTTAAAAAGCCTAGCCCCTGTTGAAAGCCTTTTACAGTTCCAACAGCACAGCAGTGTTTTATATTGACTTGCACAGAAACATCTGAGATTCTGGCAGCCAGTGACAGAAAACACTGAAACATTTCAAATTCTCAAATGCTATGGCCCCAATGCCTCCGCAATGAATTGTTCATTGACTTCAAAACCCGTATCTCCCCTCTGCCCAACTCCCTCCACACATCCCTTCTAGCTCACCTGATTACCCAGTTCCATTTTCAGCTCATCAGCTTCTGGGGCTGGCCTACTTTTCAAGGCCACATGAGCAGAAAAACTTGTACATTATACCAACAGTGTACTATAACTAGAACAACAGGACATAGGAAGGGGGGCAACTAGCAACAGCGGGCACCAAGAAGGCAATGATATAGGCAGAACCTAGTGAAACAGCCATAGGAAAAAGTGCAAAAATACTATTGCAGGGATTGACAGGAAGAGAGCACAGGAATACTGTGTGTAATAGAGCAGGACTTGGCCACTGACAACCTGGAAAATTGAGCTGAAGCCCAGGGGCACCAAGCAACATCACTTTACCCAGTGAGAAGAGCAGAGCAGCTTTACTTGGCTTTCAACAGTCACCTGAAAACCACATCCTGGTCTGAAAAGAGAGGGCCCAAGCAGCTTCAAGCCCATTGCAGAACCACAGGAATGGTGTATTGATAAATAACCTCTCTCTGCTCCTGTCCACAGATCCAGTGGAGAGGAGCATAGAGAAGAATTAAGAGGCCCTCTCAGATCTTTACTCTGCCTAATTAAGTACCTGCCTTGTGAGGCAATTTTCAGAGGTAACTTTTTGAAGGAAGTGAAAGGCCAAGGGTCATTCCATCAGAGTTTTCTGTACTTCCAGCCTCATTAACACCCTGACCTGAGAAATCAACCCCTTGCCTTTGACAAGAAGATGGAATATTTCATGGACACGCTCCTCTCCCAAACTCCTCCTTTAGGAGGGGCCTCTGGGTATAAGGGAGTATTATTCTGGAGGATTTGTGGCCTCTGGCCCCACTTTGTTCCCACATTACCTACCAACACCAGCCAAAGTGGGGTGCAAAGGGGAGAACATTCAGGTGGCAAAACACAGTTCACCAGACTGGATCACCTCTTTCTAGAATTGGGGCTGGCCCCATTCCCACTAGCACCCAGCCAAAAACAGGAGAGCTGCCACTGATGAGTTACTCTGCTTCTGTCCTGGCAGACTTGGAGAGTAGAGATGGTGAGTGGAATGGGAAAGACCACTCAGTCGTGGACAGGAAGCCGGTAGAGAGAAAACATGCCCTCCTGAATCCGATGGAAGAGCTGAGCCAGCTTGTAGAGGAAGGGCAAGGAAGAAGGAGAAGCTGCAGGGAAAAGGAAGATGGTTGTCAGTGTGCCTGCCTCTACTCCCTTCTTCCTCCCTTCAGCCTCAAGTCCCATCCCTGGGAAATCCTACTGTTTTGGGAACATGCATGATCTTTTTAAAGCATATATTGATACTTGGTGTTATTTGCTCCTCCTCCCCTTCCCAATAATAAAGAATTTCACTTTCTCTAGGATATACTTTATGAGATATATTTTCTTCACTTGGATTAGAGTGACCTTAAGTTTGCTGAGAAAAAGATCCAAACTTATTATGTTTTACCCTAACTTTTTTATACACACACAAAAAAACTCGTAATGGTGGCTGCCTCTGGGAAGATAAATTTGAGAAGACATTTCACTAAATTCCTTTTCATACCTTCTTAACCTGGAGCCAAGTGACAGTATTATCTATTTTCATCCTTAGTTAATTATATTGAAAATAAAGTTCAATCTACCTCTTCGGAATTAAGGTTGAGCTGATTGGTTTTTCCTTATTTGATTGCTGATTTTTTAACTGATTTTTTTCTTTCTTAAAAAGAAAAATGGGGATCCCTGGGTGGCGCAGCGGTTTGGCGCCTGCCTTTGGCCCAGGGCGCGATCCTGGAGACCCGGGATCGAATCCCACATCGGGCTCCCGGTGCATGGAGCCTGCTTCTCCCTCTGCCTATGTCTCTGCCTCTCTCTCTCTCTCTCTCTCTCTGTGACTATCATAAATAAATAAAAAATAAAAAGAAAAATGTTATTTTTATTTTTATTTTTTTTTAGAAAAATGTTATTTTTAAAGAAAGCTATTGACAGTCTATTCTCTTTATATCCTTCCTATAGAGTTCTAGTTGCAGCATCGTCATAGGTTCTCCTCACAGCACCACTGCTGCAATGAGTCAAGACTGCCAGTGGGGGTCAGGAGTGCCAGGCCAGAGCACTGCGAAGCTCTGAGTAGCCTGGGAAGCAGCAAGCTCAAATTGCCTCTTGCTGCCCTCGCTCAGAAGAAACCGACTTCTAAAAACCATACAAAAAAATTCTAAATTTTTATCAAGTCTCTGGAACAAAGTAGAAAGTCAGAGAGTGGACAGGAATGAACACAAACTATCGTCAGCCTTCCTGAGAACTAACAAGTGACTCTTTCCTCAAACAAAGCTGTACTCCTGTCTTCTATTCAGCAAACCAAAAAGGACAGCTTGGAGCTATGCAAAAAAGCTCACAGAATAAGAGAAAGGGGGATGCCTGGGTGGCTTAGTGGTTGAGCATCTGCCTTCGGCTCAGGGTGTGATCTGGGGACCTGGAATCAACTCCCACATTGGGCTCCCTGTGAGAAGCCTGCTTCTCCCTCTACCTGTGTCCTTGCCTCTCTCTCTCTCTCTCTCTGTCTCTCATGAATAGATAAATAAAACCTTTAAAAATAATAATAAGGATCCCTGGGTGGCGCAGCGGTTTGGCGCCTGCCTTTGGCCCAGGGCGTGATCCTGGAGACCCAGGATCGAATCCCACGTCGGGATCCCGGTGCATGGGGCCTGCTTCTCCCTCTGCCTATGTCTCTGCCTCTCTCTCTCTCTCTCTCTCTCTCTCTCTGTGACTATCATAAATAAATTAAAAAAAATAAAATAAAATAAAATAAAAATAAATAAATAAAAATAATAATAATAAGGGGATCCCTTGGTGGCTCAGTGGTTTGGAGCCTGCCTTTGGCCCGGGGAATGACTCTGGGGTCCTGGGATCGAGTCCCACATCCGGCTCCCTGCATGGAGCCTGCTTCTCCCTCTGTCTTTCTCTCTCTGTGTGTGTCTTTATGAATGAATGAATGAATGAATGAATGAATAAATAAATAATCTTAAGAAAAAAAAAAGAATAAGAGAAAGGTGAATGGGGGAAATGGGGAAGACCTGAAGATAAACACGAGAACTGGGAGGTTTGGGTTAGTTTCTTTTTTTTTTCCCCCAAGATTTATGTATTTGAGAGAGGGAGAGTACACATGCTCAAGAGTGTGCACATGGGGAAAAAAAAAAAGTGTGCACATGGACTAGAAAGTGGGAGAAGGAGCAGAGGCAGAGAGTCTCAAGCAGACTCCCCCATTGAGCTCGGAGCCCAACACCAGGTTCCATGTGGGGCTGGATCTCACAATCCTGAGATTGTGACTCAAGCCAAAACCAAGTCAGATGCTTAACTAACTGTACCACCTGGGTACACCCAAGAACTGGCAATTTTTTAAATAGACAAATTATTTGTGTGATCCTGGGCTAGTCACTTTTTTTTTCTGGTTCTTAGGTTTCTTGACCAAAAAAGAAAGAAAAAGAAAATGAAGGGACTGGAATAGGGTTTCCAGTTTTCCCCGCAGTTTTGAAAGTTATATGTCTATTCTAAGTCTAAATTCATAAGAAGAGTAGAGATTAGACCATAAGTCACATAGAGTAACACACAAACATAAAAATCTAGAAGAGTAAGCTCCTAATCTTTGGCCCAGCACTTAATTTTGGGGAGTTAATCCTCAGGAAATAACCAGGGTTGTTCCCAAATAGTACTTAGGGAGTTCATGTCTGCTGCACAGCACTGCAGAAAACAGAGTAAGAAATAATCAAAATGTTCAATAACAGGGGGTTATTGATCAATTATGGAAGTTTCTGTAACTTAGAATATTATTTATGTTAAATAATACATAAAATGTAAAGCCATGTTGTTCTTGTTTTTTAAGATTTTATTTATTTATTCATGAGAAACACAGAGAGAAAGGCAGAAACAGAGGCAGAGGAAGAAGCAGGCTCCCTGCCGGGATCATGACCTGAGCCAAAAGCAGACACTCAACCATTGAGCAACCCAGGCATCCCTAAAGCCATGTTTTAAAGAACATTTATAACATGCAAAGTTGTATCTATATCCATATAGAAAGAGACTAAAAGCACAACCACTACAATAGCAAACTTATAGGCGATTTCTGTTTTCTTCCTTTTCTCTATTTTCCACATTTTCTAAGATGTACATGTATTTCACTTAGAATTTAACACAATTTTTTAGATATCCAATGAGGAAATTTTTTTTCTAATTATCACATTCTAGTCAGAGTTCATCCTCAGATAAAGTAGATGACAATGACTCAAAGTCAATGTCCGAAGGTCAATAGAGTACAGTGGATTTCCTCCAGACTGCTCTCATGGACTCCAAGGCTGTTCTCTCCTACGTGAGCTGGTCTGGCTCTCACTGAGGTCCAATAGTCCCTCCTTATAGAAAAGACTCAGGGAGAAGTGGCATGGAATCTGTCTCCATCCCCAGCAGGCTCCCACAGGCCCAGCCCCTGTTCAACTGTACCTTCCCGAGGAAGGGTGGGAGAGAAGACAGGCTTTATTACTCACCTGGATCAAACCTCACCACCAAGAGGCAGAGGATCAAGGCAGCCAGGAGGCTCTTTTTGAAGGGCATGGAGAAGAAGTGGCTCACTACAGAATCCCAAAGCCGGCGAAACAACATCATTAGTGACAGGAACTTGTGGGAGAAGGAGCCTGGTCAGGGAAAAGAGAGCATAACTGCAGGGTAGTCCAGTCCAAGAGAACCAGCTTCTCTGACTCTGAGCTTTGAGCTTAATTATGAGAGTTGAGCAAAAGGTAACAAGTCTAGTTTGCTCATGTAGTTCTAAAAGAAATTCCAAAAGCTCCAAAAATGTTTTAAGGAGAGACTACAACACTAGAATGTCATCTCCTTAGGAGAGACTTTTGATAGACAACATCTACTCAGCTGGGTAAATCTGGCATATTTGGTGTACTTTTTAAATATTATTTTACAGTATTCTTTATATTTTGGCCTAAGATATGTACAGAGAGTTACACGGAGTAATAGTTCTTGATTATCACATTAATGTAGGAAAATGAAGGGCACTCAATATATATAGTAAAGAAGTCAAAAGTCTTAGGTGATAAATATAAACATGAACACCACCAATTTGAGAACAAGCAGTGCCAAGTCTGGAGTAGAGGACCTTTAAAATCCCTTATAACAAAATAACACACATGCCCACACCCAACTCTATGAGGCATCCTCTGTATGATAATAGCCAGGTGTATGATGTTGGGTCCTCAAATAGCTTCCCTATAAAAACCATTGTGTGAAAGTGCACTCTAATGGGCAGATACCCTGGAGATCTAGTACGTAAAGGCAGACAGAGGTAGGGCAATGGGGCCTAGCTGTAGATACGGAAGCTTATCTAAGTCAAGTGACCAACTTGTTGGAGCAGCTTCTTATTTTCCTTTAGCTATCCCACAGCACAGCTCAGGTGTGTCTGTATTGGGCCAGCTTTGAAGGAAGGAATAACATCCCACTCAGGCCAGCATGACAGAGACAAGAGATCTAGTGAGTGGACCCTAAGGAGAAGGTGGCTTTCAAGAGACAAGAATTAAGGTTCTGAGACTCATCGATACCTCCCTATATAGGGATTCTCCTTCCACTGCCAACTACAGAGGGTCAAAGTTTGGCTTTTTAATCAAATCAACAGGTTTCCTATTCTGCAATTTAGGAGTTACTCATCCAAATAATTGCTCCAGGGAATGTCATGAAAACCCCAAGGTATAGGGGAAAGCCCACAACTCCACTTTACAGTGGCCACAGAAGGATGATGTCCTACCTTCCTGGTTCAACTTCTGGGCCTCCTCAGAGCCCAAGTGTTGGTGTTTCTGCTGTTGCTTTGCCTTCCTAATGTCCTGAAGTACATCCAACCGCTCTTCCTCACTGAAGGCTGCAGAGCCCACCACTAGCTCCTCAGCCTCTGACAAGCAGCCGAGAGGCAGGAGCACCCGCTGCAGGTGAAGTTCTGCCAAGGCTCTGTATTCTGGAAGGCCTTGATTGTCTGGGTCTCGCAGCCAGGCACTGACCACTTCCAGCACAGCTCCAGGCTCCTGCATTTTGCTGTATAAAAGAACACTGCAGCCCCAAATAATACAATTTCAAAAAAAGAATAGTCAGTGCTCCACAGTTGATTCTCCTAACTACCACCCTTTCCCACTGAACCCCTCCCCTATGTCCTCCAGTCCTTCCCTATGGGATGAGGATACTGAAAAGAATTAGGGATTCCTAGGAAGTTGCAAGAAGCTCTCTCAGCTAGGACATACTCCACTTCACATCTCCTATTCCCATTGTCTCTTCTCTTTTTCTCTACCCCATTCCTAAATTCTCCCTTCCTCATCCTTCATGGCTATGTTTTGAGGTTAAAAAAATTAGATATAGAGGGAAATGGTAGGCAATGGGGTAAAAAGATATTAGGCACAGATTCAGAAAAACACATGAAAATCCTCTTTTTCCTGAGCCGATCCAATGAATCAGAACAAGGACCTACCATAGTTCCAGGACTTTGGGGGGTAGCTTTTCAGGGACCTGGTAATACTGAAGAACCCAGGACAGGACTTCCCGCCACCGATTCATTTCTGCCAGGGCCTGGATCCCCACAACACAAAGGGAGCCTTTCACCTCCAAGGAGCTGCCAGCAGAAAAACCAATTCAAGTTTAGGAGTGGTTCCCCTCCAGGGGCACCTGGGTGGCTCAGTCAGTTAAGCATTGACTCTTGGTTTCTGCTCAGGTCATGATCTTGGGATTGAGCCCCACTTTCTAAGCTTCATGCTTAGTGTGGGGCCTGATGGAGATTCTTTCCCTCTACCTCTGCCCCTCCCCACCCTGCCTGCTCACACACAAGAAAGGGAAGGAAGGAAGGAAGGAAGGAAGGAAGGAAGGAAGGAAGGAAGGAAGGAAGGAAGGAAGGAAGGAGGAAAAGAAAGAAAGAAAATAAATAAAGAAAAAAAAAGAAAGAAAAAAAAGATAGATAGATTCTCATTTCCATTACTACATTCACCCTGGGATTGTTCCTCCCCAGCTCCCAACTCAGCAGCCTTCACCTCTATCTTCCCCTTTAGTATTCAAGAGGCTCTCAAATTACAACTGGTTTCTTGAGTGCCAACACAGAAAACTGCCCTTTCCCCCAGGAGTTCAAAGTCCCTGTAAATCTCATGGAGGCAACTCAACTGTTGCCTAACATACATCTTTGTATCCAGATGAAATTAGGGTAGGGAAAAGGGACAATATGTAGCACAGGTGTATGGGTGGAAAGAGAGCTGGAGCTAAAAGTCTGCCTAGTAGAGCAGTGGGGATGCTGCAAGGTTTCTGGTTGAGTGTGGGTATAGGAACTTCACAACTGGCTTGTTAACACCACGTGAGGTACATCCAGGTACCCCAAATCACGGCCTCCGGCATGTACTGCAACAGGCCCGTATCCCCTATCCCCTAAAAACACAGCCAGGGTTCCCCCAGTTCGTCGTTTTCTGGAGTCAGCTTTGACTACTCTACCCACCACCTCCTTAGTGTGCCTAAATCAAGATGGCAATCCGTAGAGAAATGATGCCCTCAACTTCCCAAAGAGGCTAACAGCATCAGAAAGAGCAAGGCAGAGCCAAGGTCTTCTCCGGATTGATTCTTTAATCCCGTCCTTCAACAGGACCAGGACACTACTCCAGCTCCGAACTCCATTTCCATTTATCAGCCAAGGTCAGAAGTGAACAACGCGGAGGAGAGAAGCATACCTACACTTCCACCACCCGCTTACTGAGATAATTTAACACTTAGTGCACATCTGTGTCCCCCGCGCCGCCCCCCCCCCATGCCACTGTACACGGAACAGGGAGAAAAGAACTGGCTGTGCGTTCTCACGAAGCTCCATTAATCTCCTCTCCCAATAAGAAAAACGTGGTCATTGCGCAGTGCCTCAGTTTCCTCCTCCGTAGAAGGGGCACACCAGCCTCTCAGAGGGCGTAAGGCTCCTTGTGAGCACCCTGGAAAGGACAGAACTCCCGAGACCCCGAGGCCCTCGGCAGGGTCACCCGGAAAGGAGCGGAGCCCAGCACGTACGCTGCCGCCTGGTCGCCGGCCAAGCTCCGCCAGGCGCGCTCGCAGGTGCGCAGCGCGGCGCGGAAGTCCAGGTGCACCACCAGGAGGTCTGCGGCGTCCTCCAGCAGGGCGGCGGCGGCGGGGGCGGCGGGAGCGGGCTCGCTGCTCCTCCGCGGCCCCCACAGCCCGCCGAGGGCGGCCGCAGGGCTCGCGGAGTCACTCTTCATCGCCAGCGGGGTCAGGGCCTGTTTCCGCGGACGTCAGAGCAGCAGCCTCGCTGGGAGCCCCAGGACCCTCGAGCCGGCCTGGGAGAAGAGGGACAGTCCTCACAGCCTTGCCCACAGCCCTTCCCGAGGCCGCGTCCCGGAGGGGGAACCCTTAGTGGCCGTATTTAGGGCAAAGGCCGGGCTCGCCGGGCGGCTGCTGCAGATCAAAACAGCCGGACCCCCGGGGAACCAGTTCACACCTCAGATTCGCAGAAGAGCTGCATCTCTGGAATGCCTGGCCCCGCGACATGTACGGATACCGATTCAGCCCCGGGGAGTGCCGGTCCAGGTTCCTTTTTATGAACAGGGCCGCTCACTGCAGGCGCGGGACACGGGCACCGACATCTCCAGCTCTCGCAGTCCCTGTGGACTCACGGGGTCCCCGGGGGCGCGGAGGACCCTGGGAGTTGTGGTTCTCTGGCTCTCGGCTCAGCCGCCATCTTGATGCAGATGCGGGAGTTCGGACTACAACTCCCAGCATACCACGCCCCAGAAACTCTCGCTGTCCCCGGAGAAAACAAACTGGCACCAAAGCTTCGGAAAGTAAATCGAAGTCCCCGCACCAACCAGTTCCAGCAGAGGCCAGACGGAGGAAATTCCAGTAACGGAGGTGGAGTTACATGCAGGCTTCTAAATCTGAGCTTCTGCAAGAAGAGCAATTAGAACTTCAGGAGGACAGAGAGCACCGAGGGGAAACTCCGGAGCTGGACGCTTCTCACGCGCTTTGCCTTCCCAGACGCAGCGCACATTCAGCCGGCGCCTATGGGGCCTGCCCCCACGCCGAGCGCTTCGCGTACAACCGCATGTAATCCTTCCCTCAACCCTGGGGGGATTAAGAGCAACTGCTAGCCCCATTTCACAGGTGAGGACGTTGGAGCTTATTTAAACACTTTGCTGAAGGTCACACAAAAACCAAGTCAACGAGGCCATATATTTAACCACTATTCTGTTCTGCAGGACAGGCCTGAGTTCTACATTTTCTATTCAGAGAATTTACAATCATTGCACAAGCAAGCTCATTGAGCCTCATTGCTTCATATGAAATAGAGATATTGTGAAAACAAAGCCACATGGTGTTAATGCAACTTACAATAAAGAACTAATACAGAGCAGGTATTCAATAGATTACAGCTATAATAATAATTATTGAATTATTTACACAGATGCCTAAACTACATTAGCTATTGTATTATGTGCTTCCCCCAGACTCTGCCGAATTTATACTAGATTCTCTCAGCTTTAGTTTCTCCTCAGTTCCCTATCTTTTGAACTATTTGCAAAAATTCTCTAGAATTGTTTAGTCCCCGGGTGATTAAATCAGAAACATCAGGCACAGGGTAAATGCCAGTTTACACCATGCATCCCCTTCCCTTATCGCTAGATATAGACACACCCATCTGCTAGGCTTTCAGCTCTCTGCAGAAAGTCCTCATGGAAAGCTGAGGCAGAAACATGAAAGCCATCAAACTCTGAAGAAAGAGAAGTATGGACCTGTAACCATATAAGATGATAAAGTCTGGACTTCACTTATTCTTCAAATACTTTTTGAACACCTGCTAGATGCTAGGCCCTGTTCTAAGTACTGAAGATCCTACAGTGAACAAAAAGAGACAAAAATATTCACTTTTGTGGAGTTTATGTCATAATAAAAGGAAACAAAATAAATAAGTAAAATACAAACAGTAGTATGTCAGATTATAAGTGCTCAGGAGAAATAAAGAGAGATTGGGAGTGACAGCAGTGGAGACGTAGGGTTGGTATCTACATTTAATTTTGTTTTCTAACAGGAAATCCAGGGTTGGCGGCAGAGTAAAGAGAAAATGTGGACCTCATGCTCAAGACTAGCCTCTGTCAGCAAGATCACTATTCACTTTGGAGCACTGCCCTTGGGACCAACATATTTTCAGTATTGCTTGTGAAAGGCTCCACCCTAATCTCTTCCTCACTGGCCAGTATTCATTCCCACACAAAAAACTCCAGAGGCAAGCAGAGATCCCTGGAAAATGTGGATCAGTATGAGAATCAAGTTACCAAAATGTTTTATCAGTTCTGCTTCAGATTTCATTATTATTACACTGCAAATAAAAACCCTGTTCTCAGAACTAGGTTTAGAAGTCTTCCTGAAACATCAGGAAAGCAGTAGGAACATCAGAAAATAGACTGGAGCAGGCCTAGACAGGTTGAGACTAGCACAACCACATCCCATCACGTCCGGAAGCATCACCTTAAGACTGAAAGGGCCCATTCCCTAAATCCTAAGTTTCTTACCATTTCCAAATGCTTCCAATAGATGGCAGCACAGCCTTAAAAGAAGCACACCTGCCCCTGCCGGAAACAAAATTTGCCTATTGAGTGGTGTGGCTGCCATAATGAGGTCAAGATCGGGGAGTGGGGTTGGGGGTGTGTGAAAAATCACATAAAAATATGATTGTGTTCTACTGTGTTTCACCCAGTTTTTTACTATACAAGAGTTCAGTGGTCGGTACGTCACCTCTTATCCTTAAGCACTGTTACGCCCATAAATCGACTACCACTGGGACACTCCATCGTCTCTCCTACGTCTGAGTGTACCCAGAATTTCTCAGGCTAAGACACGGTAATCCTAAACATGAGCAAGTTCATTCCACTGAGGGAGAGTGAACAGATAGTATGTATACCCGGTTCACGACACAATCTGTGAAAGCACCTGTCCTCCCCTTGTGATAGATCAAGGAGTGGAAATAAGGCCTGATCTAAGATTTGGTCCATGCTAATATTTGTATTATTGGAATCTTTTCATTTTGGGGAAATAGAGTAAATGAGATGAAAAATCCACATGATGAGCCATCCTCTAACCCAGACCCGAGCTCTGGAACTTGGTGTTCCTCCTTCTGCTCAGCAGTGTGCTCAGTCTACCAATGTATTGCCTTAAGAATGTGGATTTGCTCTGCCTGCTTTAAGCAGGTAATGGTTGGGATTTTTGTAGCAGAAAGAACTCTAGACTGGAAGATGAGCTATCCTAGTTAGAATACTGGTTCCTTCGGTGACTAAACCAGTCATCAGACCTCTAGAAAGTCACTGAAACACTCTGGGCCTCAGTGTTCTTTTCCGAGGACATGGATAACAACACCTGCCACACAGGGTGGCTGTGAGGGTCAGAAGACACCATGTGACTCTAAATCCTCAGAATAGTTCAGGCTGATACAAGGCTGGTTGGTAAAATATTTTGGGGAATGAGTAAGGAGAGGAAAGAATCCCTTTATACCTCAAAGTTCCATACTCTAACTTTCTGACCTAGAATTTGACTCGACTCTTTCTTACTAAGGTGAGTAATGTCCATCCTGTCCTGCCTTTTCCAAACTGGTTCTACACTCTGTAGCAATAGACAGCATCCATAGCCACCCCTTCTAACACATCTCTTCCAGCCAGGGGCATTGGTGGATAAAGCTCCAGTGGAGTAAAATCATACCTAGTGTGGACTTTTGACCAGAAGCAAGCCAGAGAGATAAATATTAGCAGGGTGTTTTTCCAGGATGGTCAAGGGGATGTGCCTCCCTTACTCCAGACCTTCATCTGTTAGTTGGCATTTTTATGGCTCTTTTTTAAAGCCTGGACTTGGTATTCAAGACAGAACTCAATGCTTCCTATTTGCTCCTCACCATACAGACACAGCAGGACTCTTACTTCTGTGTCTAAGAAGTAATCATCATAATCATCCTCTATAGTACTTTACAAAAATAAGACAGGTCAATTTATATAGTATGGTATTAACTATGTACTAGGTGCTACTCTGAGTGCTTTACATTTAACTCATTGTTAGTAGCATCAACAACTCTATAACATAAGTCTTTGTGCCATCCCTATTTTGTAGGTGAAACCAAGGCACAGGGAGGTTAAGTGACTTTCCAAAGGTCACATAAGACATGCGAAGAAGGGCTGGGATTTAAAGCCAAGCAGTTTAGCTGTAGAGTCTTTCTTCTTAATTAACACCTAATAAGGCAGCCCAGGTGGCGCAGCGGTTTGGCGCCGCCTGCAGCCTGGGGTGTGATCCTGGACACCCAGGATCGAGCCCCACATCGGGCTCCCTGCGTGGAGCCTGCTTCTTCCTCTGCCTGTGTCTCTGCCTCTCTGATTCTATGAATAAATAAATAAACTCTTTTTAAAAAAATTAACACCTAATACTGGCCCTTCCAAATACTTCACTTATTTTATTTGAGCATAACAACCAACCTGTGGGCAAAGTAACAGATATATTGTTATTATTCCTATTTATAGATAGGAAACTAAAGCTCAGAAACTGCCCGAGCTTAAAACATTTGGTTTCAGTGGCAAAGCTGATGCAATTACTGGAGATTTCTAACCAGATCCCATGCCCAGGACATTCTTCAAAGGGCCATCCGTAGCTCCTCTTCACCACCTTAAAGATGACTGGAGGAGCCACTCTGTGGAGACCTGTTGTCCAATTTCCACTGTTTCTCACCCACTACAGGAGTCAGAGGATTCACTCAGAGAAGTCTGAGCAAATCTTCATGATGCCAGAACAAGCCTGAAAAAATCAAAAAAATAATGGCTGCTCACTAGGAATAAGTCAGCCCTGGCTCTCTCACGGAAGAGTAGAAAGATGCTACCTTCTCTCTGGAATCTTTCCTGATCACACCTAATTCAAGCTAATCACTCCTTCCTTCAAACTTCCCAATTGTGCTTTGCTTTTTTTATGTCTTTCTTATTGGTCCTTCCCAATTTCCAAGTCTTCTTGTAGTTATTTGTGCCATTTCCCTATTCAACAGTGCCCTTCCTGAGGGTAGGGACAGAATCTCACTCGTCTCAGGATCCCTGCATGGTCTAGCAATGGGCACACATTGCTCAGGAGGAACCCCACCTCTCCTGAGCTATTCTGCATCGTTTGGTCTTGACATTCTCTGGTGAGCACTGTGTGATGAGGTTGGAAGCTGAGGAGATACATGCCCTCAACCAGCCCCTCCAAAAGGAGAGACATCTGGGCAGCCCGGGTGGCTCAGCAGTTTAGCGCCTGCCTTTGGCCGAGGGTATGATCCTGGGGACCCGGGATTGAGCCCCGCATCGGGCTTCCTGCATGGGGCCTGCTTCTCCCTCTGCCTGTGTCTCTGCCTCTCTCTTTGTCTCTCATGAATAAATAAATAAAATCTTTAAACAAAACAAAACAAAAGGAGAGACATCTAAATGTGTTTCCAGATACCAATACCCCTGGCCTACCTTCCTGTCCACAGGCAATTTGCAATGTTCCTTCTTGTTGTTTCTCCCTTATTTCCTAGGAAATAATCAAATAACCTGAGTCACCCTGACTGATAGAATTTTAGAGTTGGAAGGAGGCTTATCATACTACATACAGCCAAGGAAACTGA